AATCGCCCTCGCGCACAAGACCGCGCGACCTCACGGCGGGAGCCCAAATGCAGGGGATGGTCAATTGGCCCGAACGCACGACTCTGGGGTGAAGACACCACTTTACTAAGCGCGACTAGACAAGGGGTGAAGGGATGGGAAGGAAGCGATAAGGAATAACAGAGTCTAAGTGGGGCACAAACATGTACTGGAGATTTATTTAGAGTATAAAATACATGTATGTTTCCAAAGGATAGCCTTATACTCCGTTCGTCACCTAAATTTTATCCATTTCATCCTTTGGTTTGTTGTAAGTTGTCTAAGGTACCATAGATTAGGTTCAGGGAAAACGTTCGGGGAGTAGCGGGCTCCGAGCTGTTCTCCACCATAAGGTGGGCTCTAGAAAAGATGGGCCCAGTTCAGCGACTGAAAATGCTGGGGTGGGGGTGGGGGGGATCCTGTAGCTGGTTTGCAAGCAGCAGCCGGCCCCTGCTGTGGCCCGTCCGCCACGATCTGCTGGGTAATGACAGCAGTTTGAGGGGTAATGCCCGCCTGCAGGAAAGCAGGGCATTGGTAGCAGTCGGACTGAGGACTCTCTGACCCCAGCTCGCTCTTCCAGCCAGACTCCCAGAGCAGCTGCGTAGAGGCTCGAACGAAAGTAACTGTGACTTTTCCGAATCATATGCAAGTCCTTCTAACATGTCTCACCTCATTGTGCTTTTATTATTATTGTTAGCACCGTTATTTACTGTTATTTATTTAACTCTACTTCTTTCCATCCCCCAACCTCTCGGCGGAGGTTCACTCATAGCTTTGAACGGAAAGAGGGGCGAAACCCCGGCCTGGATCTTTCTCACCCCAAGTCCCTCTGGCCCCGTCACATGTTTTCTTTCGTTGCTTCATGTAATTTGCGTGTTGCTGTGTGACCTTTGGTTTCGTTGCCCGAATAGACACAAATAAAATATTGTTTCCTTCTCTCTTTACCCCTTGAATTAACTTCTAAAATAAATGCTTTATTTTTCAACCCGAATTGCAGTGTTTTTTCTTTCTCGGACATTAAGGAGTACTAGTCTTGGAAAGGATTTAAAAGTGAGAACCCAAAAGGGCCGGACTGTCATTTCCAGGAGGCCAGTCTCCTGCAATCTTCCCTCCTTGCTCCTCTTTCGGGGCTGCCTCATCTTCTCACCCAGATCCTCCCCGGACCTCAGGGTTTCCAGGCCCTTCCTCCACGCTTCCCACGTGCTAATCTTTCAGCTTCTATTTGCTCAACTTGACTCAGACAGAAAACTTTTAGGCCTGACTGATGGGAGCAGGGGCCCCCAATGCCTCCACTCATTGGCTGAACGATCCTGAAGTGAGTGTAACTTCTCTGAGTCTCCATCGGCTGTCTGCAGCATGAAGATGCGAATACTTACAAGGCTATTGTCAGGACTAAGTAAGATTATTTATTTAAGGTGTCTGGTAGTGCTTGGCTCTTCTCGGGAAACTTGGTTATTTTAAAAGTTTCAAACAGCTAGATGGGAGGTGAGGAGAGATGCAAAAAAGGGAGGAAAGTGTTCTTTGCTGGGACAGAGTCGTTTGGGCTTCCTCGAGGTCAATTCAGAAATTCATTTGGAATTGTCACCCAGGAGATTATTCCACGGTCTATCGAGGCTTCTCTCTGTGTGTGTGGGTGGGTGGGGGTTGGATAATGAGATAATTGCGGCAAAGATCCTGGCCTGGTGCCTATACACAGTAGGTGCTCAACAGATGCCGGTTTCCTTCTCTCTCTTCCACATACTCTAAAAGGGGGAGGAAATCTTATCTGTGAGACGCAGAAACACCTTCATGATTTAAAAATTAATGTTCCAAGTCCTGGAGTCGTCTGTACATTTCCCCACTGTGTCTGCAAAGAACTCTGCGTCATCACCTCTGGACTGAAATTCGAAGCAGAGCGGGTCTCCCCTCCGAGCGATATGCCCCCTTATTGCAAAAGCAAACCTGGGGATCATCCCCAGCCCCTGGGTCTCACCCTGTCGCCCCCGCCTTGCGCACCAGCCCCAGCGATTCCTCCACCTCCCTCTCCATCGGGTGTCCTTTAATAATAAATGCCCTTATGCCATTACATTATATTGTGGGTTTTGAAAATTTAAAATACGGCTGATGCAATATTAATTGCCTATAGTGGTATAAAACACAGGGCCAGAGCCCAGCCGGGCTGCAGATGAGGTGGCCGTGAGCGTCCCGCGCGCCGAAGCGAAGTGCTCCAGACAGACGCGCCTTTGCGGGCTGGGAGGTTTCCTGCAGGTAAGGGCCTTCGGCTTTTTTGGCCCGGGGAAGAACCCGATATCCGCCTCCATCTCCTTTTCGGAAAGTTCCCCGCTGTTATATATTTGCTTATTCATTTGTTTGTTTTATTAATAACCTCAAAAGTTTGGGAGACTATTTTTGGAGAGGGCGAGATGAGTCGCCTGAATGCAAGGTCTGCGTCAGTAGTGGCCCGGCAGGGTTGTGAGTTGGAGCCGCGCGTTTCGGCGTCATCCGCTTCAGACGCCCGGGACCGTCCGCGTGTACGAGTACTTTGACCAGTTTCTACCTGCCGGCGGGAGCTGTGGCCGGGTCCACGAAGCGCCCCATCCTCTCCCGCCCCCTGAGCGCGCCGGGCAGGCGCCGCTGCCTCTCTCCTTGGGCTCTCTCAGGAAGCGTCGGGAGCTGTGGTTTCTCTGAAATTGTTCAGTCGCCTCTGCCACTCGTCCAGTGGAGGCACAGACTTCTCAAGGGGTGTGTGTATGTGTGTTTGTGTGGCGGGGGTCGGGATCTGGGTACCAGACGGTCTGGGATTCACGCAGGCCTGATTTGCATCCTGGCGGGTCATTTCCTAATCGTGTGACCTTGGGCAAGTCACATTACCTCTCTAAGCCTCTGCTGATGGCTGTACAACCGCACAAAAATTACTCTGAAGAGTAATTGAAAAGCACTCTGGAGCAGATTTTCTTTTACCAAGTCTCATAAACTTGCAGCATTCACTGCCTAAGGCCCAGCTGGGGGTTTCTTTAGACTGTGCCAAGGTAAGGTGAGGCCAATGTTCTGGGCTGCTTTTATGGAAAGCTGCACTTGGCCTCTCATGATGGGACTTTGAGAGTCATCTGTGGACCAGAGTAAGGCTTCTAGGCCCCTACCTGGCTGGAACCAGGGCCTGACCTGGAATGAGGCAGGCATACACAAGCCAGCACGGCTGAAGCCTTGAGAGGCAGAATGTGGAGGAAGGAACCCTGGGCTCCTGGGTCCAGGCTGTGTGATCTCTGGCCAGGAGCTTCCTCTGTCTGTGTGCCTCTGGTAGTGTGAGTTTTGTCTGTTTCATGCTTAATGCCAGCTCAGGGTCTGGCTCAGAGTGGCAGACAATACGTATCTGTTGAATGAATGAATGAGGTTTTGTTTTGTAAAATGGAAGGACCCCTCTAGCCCAATCCTCTCTGGATTTTGGGGACTATAGGGAAAGACAGAGGCCGTCAAGAATAAACAAGTCAGGAGCAGGGCCAGGGCCAAGGGTCTGCATATCAAGCTTCCATTTAAAGACAGCGAGTTTCCTTCCTATTTAAATTAGAAGAGGCCTTGCCTCACTCTGTGGTGATCATGGGTAGAGATGGGGTACTCTTTGACATGAGCCCTTAGAAACTTGAAGAGGAATCTCAAGGATCAGGGTGTGACCTCTGGCCTGCTGAGTGTGCCTGACCCTCTCTTGGCCCTACTATGACCCTGGGTTGTTTTACTTTCCTGCTGAGATGTAAACCGCTCCAGCTCTGGAGTGGACAGACCTAGGGTGGAATACCTACTCCATCTCTTAGTTGACTAAGTGACTTTACCACTCTGAGCCTCGGTGCCTTTATCTGTGAAACTGGAAAAAAAAAAAGACTGTCTTTCAGGATTGCTTTGATGAGTAAATGAAATCACAGAAGCCAGGGCCTGACACATAGTAGGCATTAATGGATACTCTCTTTAAAATATTACTTATACTCAGAAAAATGAGAGATTATGTTGCAGTGGCAAATTTCAGGATTTGGAGTCAGGTGGGATCAACATTTTTCCTCTGTAAACCATCATCTGTTCATGTACAAAATGAGAGTAGTGAGAGATGCCTCTGTCAGGGGCAAGCTAGAAAGCATAAAAGAAACTTCTTTGCATTCTGTTCATCCCAGTGACGGAAGGAACGAGGAATTCGCTTCCCAGGAGCCCATGGAGCGATTATGTAGTTCCTACTAAGAGGCTTGACCCTCTGACAGTTCTCTGGACTCAAGCCTTCCTCCTCTGTAGAATCCTGGCAAACATCAACTGTCAGTGACATTTCGAGACTCAGCGCGGCGCTTCTCCTGGAGGGGCGGGGCTCCAGAGGGCAGAGGAGGCGCTGAGGATGAGGCCCCTGGCTGTTCTCCCCGCCCTGCACCCACTATTGGCCCCCGGGGTTAGAATGCGTCAGCCAAGACGCAGAGCGAAGAAGCATCTCTTTTCACTGAAGGAGAGACTGAGGCCCAGAGAAGGGCGGGCACACTCCTTCTACCTTAAATTGTTCTTTTACCCTGTCACGCTATCAAACTACGCCGTTGAATTTCTTTCTTAGTCCTTATTACTCCTTGATAGCACCCCGTTTGTTTATTGAGCAGTAAAAGCGCTTGGGGCGAGCAAGAACCATGTCGGCCCAGTTCCCCGGTCTCCTTGAATCGAGTGTAGGACAGCACACAGAGTGAGCGCTCCACAAATATTTGTTAGATAAATGAGTAATAATGATCTCTGACACGTATTGAGAGCTTCCTGTATGTCAGGTTTTGTTCCAAGCACTTTATATGCATTGGCTTATTAATCCTTAACACCGTTGAGTAGGTACCTTTTTTTTTTTTTTTGCGGTACGCGGGCCTCTCACTGTTGCAACCTCTCGCGTTGCGGAGCACAGGCTCCGGACGCGCAGGCTCAGCGGCCATGGCTCACGGGCCCAGCCACTCCGCGGCGTAGGGGATCCCCCCGGACTGGGGCATGAACCCGCGTCCCCTGCATCGGCAGGCGGACTCCCAACCACTGCGCCACCGGGGAAGCCCGAGTAGGTACCATTTTTAAGCCCAGTTTACAGATGAGAACTTGGAGGCACAGAGTGTTTATGTAACTTGCCCAGGGCAAGTCGTGAACTTGTTTAGTTCAACTGTTTAGCTGTTTGGTGGAGAGATCTGGCAGAAACCTGCTGATTCGCCTCACCTGTCCCCAAGTGAGACTCGACCCTGGCGAGGGGCAGGGGAGGGGGGCCGCCAAGGGTGGGGGCGAAGCAGGCGTGTCGGATTTGGCTGGAGACGCCAGGGGCGCAGAGGAGGTGGCGGAAGCCGACGAGGCCTGCTCTCCTCGCCGGGTTCTGGGGGGGGCTCCATCTCTGCGGGTCTCCCCCTCGCGGTTCTGCGCCTCTCACGTCTCTGTTCCTTTCTGTGTCTGTTTACTTATCTCCCACACACCCGCTCTCAGCTTCCCTCGGACTTATCAGGCGCGAAAGTCTGGCCCCAAAGTGCAGGAGCGAGGCAGGCCGCGTCCCCGGGGCGAGCACAGAGCCCTTTTCCCTTCTTTCTTCTCTTCCGCTAAGCGGCAGGATCCCCCGCGGTAACCCGCCCGGCGGGCTAGACGGAGCCAGCGAGGACCCCGGCGGACAAATTAGTCTCCCCTTTGATCGCTCTTTTCTGATCAGGTCAGGTTTCCCTCCGCCCCGCGACGGCGCTTCCGCACCGGCCCGGCTCCCTGGGCTCCCCCAAGGGGTCAGGGGTCGCCCGGCTCCGCCCCGCGCCTCCGTGGAGGAGACTTCTGCCGCGTTCCGGGCCTGGAGCCCCCTGGACTTTGGGCGGGGCGTTTCGGAGAGAGGAGTGGGCGCCGGTCCCAGGCTGCTCGCGGGAGTCCTCCCCTCCTCCCCCCATCCCCCCACCCCCGGCCTTGCCTCCGGTCCTCACCGCGCGGAGTACCTGTCTCCGTAAAACGTCAGTTCTCTGCTCCGTCCCTCAACCCAGTCCGGCCCAGTCCGGCACGGGAGGCAAACTGGTACCGAAATAGCATTCTCTCTCTTTTGAGTTTTTCAGTTTTAGAATTTCACACCCACAAAAATCCAAGTGTTCATCCTGGGACAATCCGAATTTCATTGGACTTCTTTATACATAGTTAGGATTTCATATTGATTTTACTTTGAATTACATAGGGAGGAGGAACCACCATAATTTCAAGAGCTCTCTGCCCGAATCCCACTCCTAAGGCCAATACCTCTTTCCTCTATTGACAAACTCCCTGCCCCCCATCAGCCCAGCTCCAAGACCCAACATCCCCGCCGTGATAGTGCCCCCCAATGCTTGGGGCTTTGCTAAGCAGCTCACCTCTTGGCAGATATAGTTAACGTCCAGCCCTCATAAATCAAGACCATAAAAAGCTTACTTTCATATGCACTCAATTTCTACAAAACCTAAACTAATTGCATAAATTCCTTTAGGCCACTCAGAGTTGCTCTCTGGGTTGGGATCTGATCAATTAGTCATTAGGCACTCCATTAGCTGGGGTTTAAGCTGCCTCATATAAATGTCTCCTGTCAATTTGCTTGTAATTGAATGAATAAAAAAGGGTACAGTTATTAGCACAGAGGATCAGAATGAGGAGAGGTCAATTTTATTTAAATATTCTTAAAATGTCTTAATCTAATAATATTAATAATAACAATAAGAAGAAGGCATTTGGACACCAGCCACACCATGTTAAGGAAAGCTCTGGCCTGAGACACAGCCACCTGAGTGGTATCCCAGCTCTGCCACCTTGGGAAACTAGTCTCTCCCACCCCAGTGGCCTGAGTTTCTTTACATATAAAACGAGTTGGTTGAGGTGATTTTCTTTCTTTTCTAATTAGTTTTACATTTTGTCAAAGTAATTTATGCACATGGTTAAAAAATTGAATACAGAAGGGCAAAATGACCAACGCTCTCCTTAGCCACTTTTAGCTGTTTCTTTTGGAAGTTAATTATATCTAAATAATATATATTTAGCACTATTTAAAATTCAAGGTTTACGTATGCTAACACGTATATATGGAATCTTAAAAAAAAAAGTTTCAGCAGAACCTAGGAGCAGGACAGGAACAAAGACGCAGACGTAGAGAATGGACTTGAGGACACAGGGAAGGGTTAGGGTAAGTTGGGACGAAGTGAGAGAGTGGCATGGACATATATACACTACCAAACGTAAAATAGATAGCTAGTGGGGAGCAGCCGCATAGCACAGGGAGATCAGCTCGGTGCTTTGTGAACACCTAGAGGGGTGGGATAGGGAGGGTGGGAGGGAGGGAGACGCAAGAGGGAGGAGATACGGGGATATATGTATATGTATAGCTGATTCACTTTGTTATAAAGCAGAAACTAACACCATTGTAAAGCTATTATACTCCAATAAAGATATTTTAAGAATTCAAGATTTATTTGAATATTATTAAGAATTTTAAGAAATGTTAAGATTTTGATTAAATAATACATGATTCAAATTCAAAAGAATTAGAAGATTTACAGTGAAAAGTCTTTCTCTCACCCTTGACCCAACTTACCCAGTTCCCTTTGTTGAAGGCAAATAACAATTTCTTGTGTCTACTTCAGAGATAGTTTATTGGCTGCCATTTCTTGATTTGTCTTTCTTAGTCATTGTGCATTAACTTCTTGCTGTGATATCAGAGAACTAGAGATATAATAATCTTGAATAATCTCCCCACACCAGTATGCTAAGAAGTTTTGTATAAAATCAATAACTAAAAAGCATGAACTGCATGGGCAGTTGAAAATTCTGATTCTGTGTGTGTGTGTGTGTGTGTGTGTGTGACCAAAAATTAATTTGGAGATGTGGACACCACAAATATATAAAAACTGCCTACTCACAAAGATAAAGAGAGTGTTTATAGGTTGATTTGAGTTCTAGCCTTCCAAATAGAATTTAAAGCAGCCTATCTGGGGAAGACATGGATGAAATGATTTAATAATCCACCTAAGGTTAGGGATTGAGCATCGGACTACAGAAACTCCAGCTGAGCTCCCACACGTGAGGAAGCCAAGTGCTTTGGGAAATAAATTCTACCTCTCACAGAGGTTCAAAGTGCTGATCCTGACTGGCTGCTTGGAGAGGTACAGGGAACCATTGTTCCCAGGGCAGGATGGATTTGTATTGAGCCCTGCATATTCTCTCAGTGAATTCCTCTTGTTAGTAAAAAGCTTGTACTGGAAGAGAGTTAACTGGGAGAATTGGAATCATCTCTGGTCAGCCTACAGAGCACAGGCCACATGGTTCTTGGAAGGTACACAAAAAGTTCTGAATTCCAGGCCTTACTCTGTTCTACGTGACCTTGGTAACTCTATTCATTTCTCAGTTTCCCCAACTCTAACTTGAGGAAATTGACCTAGGTAGTAGTTCAGTTTTGGTGAGGGTTTTTGGACTTCCTTGAGAATCTGAGGAAAACTGTTTTTTCTAACCCAGAAAAATGCACATCTGTGCACTCAAAAGTTTTGCTAACTTGTTGGAGTTCAATCATGGATTCCCTGGGTTCAACCCAGGAGTTTTTGGTCCACGGTTAATACCCCTTGGACTAGGTGATCTAAAGTCCTTTCTTTATGTCACTATCTGAATTTACAGTCAAATACCTGTAGACACTGAAACCAGTTTAGGAAACTGGGAAGAACTTTACTGAAGGCAAAAATAAAGTGTTAATTAGACTATAAGCCAATTGTTGATAAAGACTCCAAATGGCTTTGGCAAAATTATTTTTCAGATCAATAGTCAGTCTCCCAAGAGGTAATGCGGTGGAGTGAAAAAAGCACTACATTAGGGGTCAAAATCTAGGTGTTTTTTTACCAGTCTTCCAACACCTAGAATTGAGATTTTTGAGCTGGGAGCTTCCCTGCTCTGGCCCCCTCTTTTCTTATCAGTAAAATGAGAGGGTTGGACCACATGACTACTGAAGCTGTCAGCTGTAACTTCATGTGAGTTTATACGTAACGACATTGGCATGTCTTACATTTGGTATTTGTTTTGGTTTATTTTATTTTTCTATTTTGTTTTCAAAAGGATAGTTGTACAAAGTGGTGCTGGAAGAAAGGTTAGTTCCTAGTTCCTGGGTTCCTAAGCACTGAGGCTTCTAAAACCACGTGGCAGAAACACAACACCCAATGGAAAAATAAAAACAACAACAATTTGTAAGTTTAAAATTTAAAGGCAGGGTGGGAGTAGGAGGCAGGATGAAATTAAAACATTTTGTTAGACTACATAGTTCTGGCTCAGCCAAGCCAGGTCATCAGCAGGCCTGGGGAGACTCAGCCCAGTGGGGAGCAGAGGGCAGTTGTGGGCTGCGCAGGGCACCCAAGCCTGTCCCAGCTCTGGCTGGAATCCACACATAAGACAATGCTGACCAGGGCTCCTGTTGTCTGCTCTCAGATCTTCAGTTTTTCTACCTTCTGACTTGGGTTAGTGTTTGCAGCTGTGAGCTCACTCAGCCCTTGAGGGTCTGCGTTACTGGTCACATTGCTCAAGTGAAATGATAAGAATGTCATGTCAACTTCAAGTCTTCCATTTCCAACTTACCAGAATTTCTCCTGTCTATTTTATAGTTTCCCCCCTCCCCCGTTTTACTGAGATATAATTGGCCTATAACATTGTATAAGTTTAAGGTGTACAACATAATGATTTGATATTTGTATATATTGCAAAATGATTACCATAGTAAGATTAGTTAACAGCTGTTACGTTACATAGTTCCAATATTTTTTCCTTGTGGTAAGAGCTTTTAACATCTACTGTCTTGGCAACTTTCAAATATACAGTACAGTATTGTTAACTATAGTCATCATGTTGTACATTACATCCCAGGACTTATTTATCTTATAACTGCAAGTTTGAACCTTTTGACCACCTTCCCCTAATTCCTCTGTTCTGTAGCTTTGACGTCTTGAGTTTTTCACTCACAGCTCTTTACTGTTGCTTTTGGTTGTGTGTAGTATGACTCTATGCTTCTACTAATGCTATTAGGTCATGAGGGGAAGGTTTGTATTTCTTGACTGTCACAGTAGGGGTTTTTCCATCACAAAAAAGAGTTTTGATAATATTTACTCAAGTGCTTTATATTGTCACTGTCAGAAGCATGGAATCCTAGAATGTGAGCCAAGATGAATTCTTAAGAGATTCACTGGCTGGAGAATATGATGTTGTCATTCTAGGGACCCAGGAATCTATATTTTTCACCATGTCTCTGCATGTCTCTGTTTATTTGCCCAGATTTAGGAAGATGTTTCTTATACTTTTTTTTTTTTCCTCACCGAAGTGCCCTCACACTGGAGTTTGGGTATATAGCCTGAAACACAAAATTTCTTTCAATTCTGATTTCATTAAATGTGGTGTAAACTTTGCATTCCATCCACAACATGTCTGTGACTGTTTTGCCCTGTCCACCATTGCTATGGTAACTTACTTACCATGGAGTAAATTGTTGCAACACCCAGAACTTTTGGCTTCAGCCATACTCTGCACACTGATATGTAGCCTAGTTTGAAAGTAAATTCTAATGCAACCTTTTTATTGTAGGGCAAAAAATGAGACCTAAAAGAAATTTAGTAAATATATGGTATAAAATATATTTAGTATATAACAGTAAAAAAAAGCAACATCTCTAAAAAAAAATGGTTCTGAAGAACCTAGGGGCAAGACAGGAATAAAGATGCAGACATAGAGAATGGACTTGAGCACACAGGGAGGGGGAAGTGTAAGCTGGGACGAAGTGAGAGAGTGGCATGGATATATGTAAAATAGACAGCTAGTGGGAAGCAGCTGCATAGCACAAGGAGATCAGCTCGGTGCTTTGCCAGCACCTAGAGGGGTGGGATAAGGAGGGTGGGAGGGAGATGCAAGAAGGAGGGGATTTGGTGATATGCGTATGCACATAGCTGCTTCACTTCGTTATGCAGCAGAAACTAACACACCGTTGTAAAGCAATTATACTCCAATACAATGAAGATGTTAAATAAAAAAAAGCAACCTCTCTACTGATCACTTTAGAATAATAGGTATTTAACAAATATTTGACATTAAGTCTATGAATGAGCAATTCTTACTTATTTTCCTCCTGACCACACCCCTTCCCCGCAAAGGTGAAGGAAGGCAAGGATGAAATTTTAAGATATGGAATATTCCTATACTCAAGGTGCTGCCCCTTCTAAAATGTTTTACACGCCTAGTTTAATCCATATTTTATAAATTTCCATGGCCATACAACTAATAAGTGATAGAATTTAGGAGTTAAGCCCAGGATTGTCTGCCTCTAGAGCTGACCTCTTTGCACTGTTCCATGCTTGCTCTTGTAGAAGATGATGGACTTAAGTTTTTAAGGTAAAATCTGTAGGACTCTTATGTGAAAGAGTCTTGTTCTACAGGGCCACAAGGGGTACACTAAATAGAAAATGAAAGTCACAGAGAGGAAAAATTTCAGTTTCATAGAAAAAAGACGACTTTGGTAGTCACCGTGGTCCAAGGAGTGGGCTCTACTGTGAGTCCTTGGGTTGGAGGATCCGAACAGAGATTTTAGTGAGTGACACTGGGGGTGGATTTCAGTATCAGACGTGTGGTTGAATGAGGTGACATCTCATTCCAACCTGAGAGTCAGTGCTGCTCTACATGGTTGTCCATTTCACCTCCAGTGAAAAATATAAAGGAACTATCTCATAAAAGAACGTACAACTCCCTTAAAGGAGCATGGGAAGTAAATATTACTTAAAAATATTTGTTCTTTGCATTTGCCTTTTGGAATGCCAAGATATATACTTCAAACTAACAAAAATAAAAACGTTAGGCTCTGGTCCTTTATCGACTTGGTGTATTAGAAGAACCTAACAACATTTGGCTGCCTGAGTGTGGGCAGAGGAAGTCACTAGAGACTTCAGGGGAGAATGGGAGTGTCACTGAGGAGCTGTTATTTTAAAATGGTTTTGTAGAGTAGGGACCAGACTGGGGGCCCTGCCTGCCTTTTGCCTACCGGCATGGCTTTGTGTCCTCTCCCATCTTTTCCCCCTTAAAAAAAAAAAAGCTTCTTTTCTTTTGTTCCTTCAGTTCTTTCTCTCCCTGTCTCCCTTTCCCTGATCACAGTGTCAACGTGCTTGCAAGGACTGGTTACTGTTTAACTTTTTCATCTGGACCCTTGAAGGCTCCAGAGGCAACAGAGTATGTAGAACGCTCTGAGCCAGGGCTCAGTTACCAAAAGGCAGTCTAAACATGGACTTTGGGTACTTGCAAAGGAAAGACACCCCAAAATAACAAAGGATGTTTTGGAAGACTTCAGTATTTGGTATTTTAAAAAGCATCCTGGGAATTCCCCAGCAGTCCAATGGTTAGGACTCCAAGCTTTCACTGCTGGCGGTGGGGGAGGGGTGTGGGTTCAACCTCTGGTCAGGGAACTAAGATCCCACAAGCCACGTGGCCAAAAATAAATAAATAATTAATTAAAATTAAAAAAAGTAGAAAATCATCCTTGTTGTCGAGTTCAAAAGGGTGCTGGACTTCCTCCCATGTGTTTTATGAGATAGTGTTTTAAATTTCATACAGTAGAATGGGTAACATAAAGCATTCAGGGTTTCAAGCTTCTAAAGATCTTCATTTGACCCAACATAAAATAAATACAATTATAAAAATGATTATGAACACTGTGCTATGTCTAGCTCAAGTTGACCAAAGAATTGAAGAAAAATGGGGTCTCTTCTGGTTTCCGTGGAGATGTCTGGTTTTGTCAGAAATAGTTGAGGTCTAATACAGAACAGACTGGTGGTTGCCAAGGGGGAGGGGGGCTGGGGGAGGGATGGAGTGGGAGTTTGGGGTTAGCAGCTGTAAGCTATTATATGTAGGATGGATAAACAACAAGGCCCTACTGTAGAGCACAGAGAACTATATTCAATATCCTATGATAAACCATAATGGAAAAGAATATGAAAAAAGAGAATGTATATATATATATGTATAACTGAATCACTTTGCCATACAACAGTATTTAACACAACATTGTAAATCAACTATACTTCAATAAAAAAAATAAACAGCTGAGGTCTAGAAATATAATGAGTTAGTTCAACAAATATTTATGTTATTTACTCTGTGACAGGCCTTGCTCAGGATGCTGGGGATTCAGCCAAAAACTCGGGACTCAGACCTCTCCGCCGTGGTGCTTACACTCAAATTGGGGTCTAGGATATCTCATTCCTGGGATTCAGGGCCAATATCTTCGTTAGGTGTTGACCAAGTTAACCTGACCTTTACCTGTCTGCAGTGTTTGAGAACCAGTCCTAAAGTTTCGGAATGTCTCTGTTAGCATACTATGTAATCTGTTAATACTGCTCTCCTCTCCCCCCACCCCTGCCCTCCTCTTCAGGGAGAAAAGTCATGGAGCTGAAAAGAAGAGAGAAAATAACCTCCAAAGCCTGGTGATTTTGCATCACAGCAGTTGGTAACAAGTTGTGGAACCTGACTGTGATTTTTTTGAAAAAAATGACAAGTGGAAGTAATAGTCAAGTGGAGAGGAACGTGTGTGTTCCTGACAACCACACCAGATCATGACACTGATGGCGCCCCTCCCTGTGTCTCCCGTGGGCCACCAGTTGCATGAATCCAGCTTTTACATGGCCCTCCTCTTTGTACACGCCGTGTTGAGATGGATGCCTCTTCTCCAGAACAAACTAACTGCTGACCTGTATGCAGCTGGACTCTTCAGAGTTTAAACCCAGTTTAAACGGTTTCCTAAGGTGAGGAGAGTGTAAGAAGAGCTGCTTCTCTTCTGAAGGATGAGAGGTTTGATGCCAATAGGGTCAAAGGTTGTGTTCTAGGATTGAGATTAGTTAGGAACTAGGTGATGCTTATGTTTTTCCCAAGAGTCAGAGCAAGATTTCTTTTCTTTTTAATTTCTTTTTAAAATAAAAGTTATATGTGTCCATAGTTCCAAGATTCAAATAGTTCAGCAAGACTTGGTTTGATAAAGAGCTGTCTTACAGCTTTAAATGCTTCCATCTGGTTCTTTTGCTATTTACATCACTATCTTTATTTTATTTTATTTTTATAAATTTATTTATTTATGGCTGCGTTGGGTCTTCATTACTGTACGCGGGTTTTCTTTAGCTGGTTGAGCGGAGGCTGCTCTTCGTTGCGGTGTGTGGGCTTCTCACTGTGGTGGCTTCTCTTGTCGCGGAGCATGGGCTCTAGGCGCACAGGCTTCAGTAGCTGTGGCTTGCAGGCTCAGTAGTTGTGGCGCACAGGCTCAGTAATTGTGGCGCACGGGCTTAGTTCCTCTGCGGCATGTGGGATCTTCCTGGACCAGGACTCAAACCTGTGTCCCCTACATTGGCAGGCAGATTCTTAACCACTGTGCCACCAGGGAAGTCCCTGCTGAGCAATTTTCAATCTTGACATTCACAATTTTTATTACAGGAAGTTTTCTTGCATTATTTCTTTGAAGTTTTCTGGGTTTTTTTCTTTATATTTTCATATTTCTGAATGCCTATTGTTTTGATATTGGGCCACCTGTATTGATTTCTTGATTTATTTATCATTTCTCTACTGTTTTTCTCTTTGTCTTTTTGTTCTTTTGTGTGATGTTTTCTTACATTTTATATTTCAAACCTTCTACTGAGTTTTAAATTTCTCCTATCATTAAAAAATAAATCTAGGGCTTCCCTGGTGGTGCAGTGGTTGAGAGTCCGCCTGCCGATGCAGGGGACATGGATTCGTGCCCTGGTCTGGGAAGATCCCACATGCTGTGGAGTGGCTGGTCCCATGAGCCATGGCTGCCGAGCCTGCGCGTCTGGAGCCTGTGCTCCGCAACGGGAGAGGCCACAACAGTGAGAGGCCCGCATACCACAAAAATAAATAAATAAAAATAAATAAATAAATCTAATAGATCTTTTGTTCTTTAAATTGAGGAAAAAATATTTTTCTTGTTTCATGGATGCTATCTTTTTAGCTATAGCTCTGAGTGCTATTCAGTTATGTCTCTAATATTGATAATAGTTTCTCTTTAATTTCTTCTTCCCTCAGAGTCTATTTCCTCCAAAGTGCTTTTATTTTCGAAAAACTTAAAGCACTGTTCTGTCTCTGTGCCTTGTATTAGGTATTGTTTATTTAATTGGGTAAAACGTTGATTGGAAGCTCTGCACATCTCAGCTGGCCTTGTTTACTTTGGTTTTCTGTCTAGAGTGACCTGGCTGGGCTGTTTCCCTGGGATCTTGGAGTTGCCTCATGGCAGGGGTTTTTTGTTTTTGTTTTTTTTTCTTTTTTGGACTGGCTGATTCTCTCAATTTCCTGTTTGGAGGGTATATGTCTGGTAGCTGATGTCCAAGGTGCTGAGTGAGGGAAAGGAATGGGGTTTTCAACATTTAGAATGTAAAATTTCACGTAATTCCTCTGTTTTCAATATGGTTTCCCACCCTTAACTGTGGTTGGTGTCTCAAATACAATGACTTTTAAAAAACATTTTTTTCTTGTGAATGAGTTACCAGTATTCTGCCAGGTTTGGGTGAGGCAGTTGCCTGCTTGTGCCAAGTGGGTGAGGTAATCTGAGGGTCTGATTGCTTCTTAAACAAACTCTCAACCGAGCCACCCATTGCAGCTTTGTCTTAACTCCAGAGATGTGTGCTACTATCCCTTCCAAAGTCTTTTAGGGAATCTGCTCCGCATTTCAGTTTGCTTATCAGCTCTCCCCAGTGCTGACTTAGGATTCAGCTTTTTTAAGTCTCTCAAATCAATTACCTCTTATCTATTTACTTTCCAGTGTCCTTTTATTTATTTATTTTTTTGCAATTGTCTCCTTTCTCATTCTCTTCATCATTGTAATTGGTGTATGCGTTAAATGTCCTTTACTCATCATTTTAGGTTAGGTTTTAGGAGAGAATGGAGCTGATGCCTGTGTCCAATCTCCTACTTTAACTGGAAATCTCCAGAACTGAGATTCTGAACTAATGTCTCAGGACTCCTGGAAGAGTCAGTGATGGATTTTATTTGTACCCCCTGAAACTGTATGAAAATTATGTGTATATTTCCACCCTCACTAAGTCTATAGCTTTTATCAAATTCTCAAAGTGATCTGTGACCTCAAAATCTAAGTATCATTTCTCTAGAGGCCAAGACTATGTTACATTGGGAAGAAGATGGCGTAGGTTTGAAGATACTCAAACTCGGGAGAATATTAGACCAGCCCCAAACTTTTCAATGCTGCTAATAGATGAAGTTTCCAACAGGGACTGGGCATTCCTTGAAAACTAATTCATTCCTATTCGTCACACCATATAGTCCTAGGTCCAAAGAACCACTGCACTATCCCTGGGGACAGAGCACCTACATGTTGAAATCATAGGTGGAAAGTAACTGATGAAACCTTTGAAATGATCCTTTCAGATGAACAGATTCAAATGCCAGAAGGTCATGGAGATGAGAACAATGAGCCACACACAAGGTGGCAGAATGGTGCAGACTGTGGTGAACTGAAGGGCAGGGGCCTGACCTAAAGGGGGTAGAAGTTACTCAGCACCAGCCGGTGACTGCCCTGTGGGGAAATGAGCCCAATGTGAGGTGAACAAATCGGATTTGCCAAGAGAAGCTGTAATGCTTCTAAAATGTGATATCTACTTATCTCTCCTTCCTTAAAGTAAAGGTAAAAAAAAAAAAAAAAAAAAAATCAGGTAGGTCAAACTGAACACATGTGCAGGCCAGATTTAGCTCACAGACCACCAGTTTGTGAAATCTGATCTACTCCAATCTTCTTTTGCATATTGGGATCCTGTTGCCCAGAATGAGGAAGCTCCCATGTCAGTGTTATCCAAGAGAAGGTTCTAGACTGGTCCTTGGATCCCTGAGGGGAGCCCTGGGTCCTTCAATATAGACCAAAGGGTGGAAATTGGTGGCACTGGAGAGTGTGTGTGAAACAGAGGTAGAGTGTTGGGGGAAAGAGGGGAGGACTCTGGTGAGGAGATAAGATGAAGAGAGAGTGTTGGTTTTGACCATTATAGTTATACTTCTCAGAGTTTGCTGGAAGAGTTATACAAAGTTGGGGGTGGGTGGGAATTGTGAACAAGGCAACAATGACTGAGTAGTTTTAAAAGATTCTAGAAAGGTTCAATGCTGTCCAATAAAACTTTCTGCAATTATGGAAATGTTCTGTATCTGCGCTGTCCAATATGGTAGCCACTAGCCACATGTGGTTACTGAGTACCTGAAATGTGGCTAATTCAACTGAAGGACTGAATTTTAAAATTTAATTTAATTTAAATTTAGAAGCTACCTGTGGCTACTGAACTGGGCATTGCAGAACAGACCAATATATCCTGAAGTGTGTTATGTCTTCCTTTGCAAGTGACATGTGGTTAATTAAGACAGAAAAACATGTCTGTATTTGTAGCTACACCCACCCTCTAGACAGAGAGACAGACACACACACACACACACACACACACACACCAAACCATGATTTCATGGATACTGTTGCCTGGCTGAGACCAAGTTTAAAAAAGGAGTAAGTTAAAGAAAAATGTTAGTAAACATTTTTAGTAAATGTATTTAATAAATAGTATATGGGTGGTATATACATAAGGCAAATATCATAAAGGTCATACAAATGACTGAAATTTGGGAAACAATGAACTATATGGATTTTTATCAAGCTGTGGTCTTACATACCACTGATAATTCATAAAGTATTGTTTCACTATAAAAAGTATCGCGTCAGAAAGTAAAATAAGTTTGGGAAATTTTCAAACAGGTTTGTTGTTGTTTCTGTTTGTTTTAACTGCAGAACTCTTTGGAGTCTTTTGTAAGTTGAGATGAATGTGAATCTCTAGGACAGGAAGCTAGAATAGAGCATTTCTCAAACATATTTGACCAAGGAATGACCCCTCTCCCCCCCTTTTTTTTTTCTTAATTGTCATCATTGTTTTGAGGGAGGCTAGTTTTCCTTAGAACCCCTGAGAGACCCAGCTTGGAGCAGAGCCACTGAAACTTCTGTGCCTCTGTACCCTACAGAAACCTGTCCTGAGCCCAGTGTGGAGGGTGGGTGGCTCGCTCTGGGGCAGCTGGTTTTTCCAGCTTCAGGGCCCCGGAAAGTGGAGGAAGACATTCTTTGGGAGATTGATGACTCAGTCAGAAGCACCTGTTAAGAAAGGTAGCCCCAGATCTTGGCCACTGCCAAATTGTACGGTAGCTGGAAAAGGGAAGAGGATGCAGTAGAGAGAACAGTACCTCAGGAGACACCTTGCCAGTTTCTAGTTTAACCAACCATTAACCTGAATTTGACCTCATGGCAACTTGAAAGTGGAGAGAGTGGAAAGAGCACAGGCTTTGCAGTCTGAAAGACGTGGGTATGAATGCCAGCCATGCCACTTACTAGTTATGTGACCGTGGGCAGGTCTCCATGGCTTAGCCTTTCTGTTCTTATCTGGAAACTGAGAATGATGGTAATAGTAACTAACATTCATTGAGTCTCCACTATGTGCCGTGCAGTCACTCAACTAGACTCTGGGCAGACAGGTGAGATGCCTGCTCTCAATGAGCCTGCATTTTAATTAGAGCATAGGAAGAGATAGGCAGTACACAGATAACATAGAGACTTGCAAATTGTGATCCACACATGATGGAAAGTAACTGCAGGGTTGCAAGTACCCACTTTAGCTGAGGTGAAAAGGGATGGGCTTCCTGTATAAGTGACACTTAAGGGATGGGCTTCCTGTATAAGTGACACTTAAGCTGAGGATGATTATGTTTATTGCGTCCTTACCACGAACCGGTCACCTACCTTTAAATGCAGGGCCTCACTGGAGGTAAGCACCAGTGTTATCCTCACTTTATAACTGAGAAAACTCTGGCACAGAGAGGTTAAGTATCTTACCCAAGGGCACACAGCCTAGGAAAGGGCCAAGTAGGGACTTTAACTAGGACTTTCCGACACCAAGTCCCCTACTCCTTTTTTTTTTTTTTTTGCGGTACGCGGGCCTCTCGCTGTTGTGGCCTCTCCCGTTGCGGAGCAACAGGCTCCGGACGCGCGGGCTCAGCGGCCACGGCTCACGGGCCCAGCCGCTCCGCGGCATGTGGGATCTTCCCGGACCGGGGCACGAACCTGTGTGCCCTGCATCGGCAGGCGGACTCTCAACCACTGCGCCACCAGGGAAGTCCCCCTACTCCTTTTTTCATTCTACTTATGTTACAACATGTGCTAAAGCTCGAATAAGAATACATGTGAAGTGCTCAAGCTGCTTATTCAATAACAGCCCTGCCCTTAATCCCACTCCTCCACGTCTAATCTTTTGGGATGTCTTTCCTGGGGTCTTGAGGTTAAGCGACTAGAGAGCTTGATCCTGGAGGATTTCTACAATGAAATAAATCTAAATGAGTTTCTGCAGCTGGGACTCCACCCCTTTCTAGACCACAGCCCAGCAAATGGGCAAGGGAAGTAGGGATCCGTTCAGGGCAGGAAGACATTAATCCTTACCTAGACTTCCAGGTGAGCTCAACAGAGTGTATTGTTCCAGGAACGAGAAGCCATTGCCCCAAGGACTAGGTCCCTTAAGGCGGGTTTCGGAACCCTGCCCTGTCCCCCACCTCCTTTTCCCATTCTCGCATGCTCCTTAATATCCGGCTTTGCATCTCCTGAGAACTGGAGCCTCGGAGATGAAAGCCAAGAAAACGCGACGAGCCATCGGCGGCACTCACTCAATTGATTTTTACACAAAATTTGCCTTCATGAACGAAGGATGGAAAAATGATCCCATAAATAATGGATAACAAAAACAAATGCAGGGAGGAAATCAATAGTCACACACTTGATACCGCAGGGAGATGGGAGAGGAAAATATGGAGCCCGCTCCGGCTAAACAACACCCCAGGGAACCCCTTCCAGCTGGGGAGGGAGAGGCACACGTTGCCGTAGCAGGCCTCAGGGGACAGTGAGCTGGGAGAGTTTGTCTGAGCTTCTCTCAATGTGTCAGAGTCGATCTCAGGACAAAGGAACTATCTGCCCCTCAAGGATCACCCTGATTTGCCGCCCACAGACCAGGGTACCTGCCCTGGTTCTTTTCCTGAGCCGTCCACAGCCTCAGGAGCTCCATCTTTCAGAGATGCCAAAAGGCTTCCATGCTCTCTCTGAGCTTTTCCCCTTTTTCTATTCACAGCACGTTGCCTCCAGATCTGGTTACCTGCTCCCGTGCTATGGAAGCCCCGTGAGTGGTGTGGGGTTAGGGATTTGAATCCTGGTTCTACCATTTCTTCTACCTGTGTGACTGGCTCTTGGTAAGTCATGTAACCTCTCTGAACTTTCGGTTCTTCATCTGTAAAATGGGGCTAGTAAAATCTTTTATGCTGGTAGGAAGGATTAAATGACTTGATGTGTGTAAAGTGCCTGGCATATAGTAAATGCTCAAAATAGGGCAGGTAAAATCACCCTCGCCTGATCCCCCGAATCTGTGCCCTTCCTCCATGCTCACCTCCACTGACTCCAGGGCTTCACTGCCTCACGATTGCATGGGTCAGTAGCCTCGTAATTAGTCTCCCTGCCTCTGGCCTCTTTCTTTTTTTTTTTTTTTTTTGCTGTATACGGGCCTCTCACTGTTGTGGCCTCTCCCATCACAGAGCACAGGCTCCGGACACGCAGGCTTAGCGGCCATGGATCACGGGCCCAGCCTCTCTGTGGCATGTGGGATCTTTCCGGACCGGGGCACGAACCCGTGTCCCCTGCATCAGCAGGCGGACCCCCAACCACTGCGCCACCAGGGAAGACCCTGGCCTCTTTCCTCTTGGGTTGTTGCTTCTCACAATCTTCATCCTCCTGAAAAATACGTCTGATCATATCATAACTTTTTTTTTTTTAGTTTTAATCATACTCAATTTGTTTGACTAGGTGTTACATTCACATGGTCCCAAATTGAAAAGGTGCCAAATGCTATACAGTTAAAATCCCTTCTACTTCTCTTCCCATCCACCCAGCACTATTATCAATTTCTTGTGTGTCCTTCCAGAGAAATTTTACTAATTATAAGCATATGTATTTTCTTATTTATGTATGTGTGTATCAGTACGTATTTATGTATATGTGTTTTCATGTATTCTTTTTTTCTCAAGGTGGTAACAAACTATGCATACCGTTCTATGCTCTTCTTATTATACTTAATATATCTTGGAGCTTATTCCCTGTCAATATATAAGGAGTTTATTCTCTCTCTCTCTCTCTCTCTCTCTCTCTCTCTCTCTTTTTCTTTCACAGCTTCCCATTTTATTCCATTCTAGGGACGTATCATAATTTATTCAACCAATCCCTGTTCATGGAATTGAAGTTTTTTTCCAGTCTTTTGCTTTCACAAGCAATGCTGTGATAGGTAACATTGTACCTATGCGACTTCACAACTTATCTCTAGGATAGATTACTAGATGTGTCATTCTTGGGTCAAAGGGGATATGCATTTGTACTTTTGATAGATATTGCCAATTTGTTCTCCATAAAGCATATGCCTTGAGCGTACCCAACAGCAATGTGAGAAAGTGCCTCTGTCTCCCACTCTGGCCTGCATTCCCAGGATGTCTTCACCATGCCACACAAGTCCCTTTACCCATCTTTCAGCCTCCACTCCACGTGCTCAGGCTCTGCATGGATTCTCCGCTCCAAACATTCAGAGGTATCCCTGTTTCCCCATTGTGTCATACTCTTTCCTGCTGCCATAACTCTCACATGCTGTTCCCTCTCCCTGGCAAAATTCCATCCATCCTTCAAGTCCTTACTCCAAGGCCACCTCCTGTGTGATGCTTCCCTGTCTTCCGTGGGCTGAGTCAGCCAGTAGCTCCTTTCTCTGTTCTCCCACATGACATGCCATTTGTATAGCACTCATCACACATGTCATGTTTGTTGATGTACTTATTCTCCAGGTCTTAACTCATCTGTGTAACCTCAGTAAGAACTGGAAGCGCTGAGTTAATATTTACTGGAGGGACATGCAAGGCACTACACTAAACTGTACTGGGGATACAGCGAGAAAAAAGGCAGGATCCCTGCTCTTGAGGAACTTGCAGAGCTTATTAGAACTCTTTGATCTTAGATAAGTGGATAGCTGTTCATTTTAATCATTTTTATAGCTGTCGCAGAATTCATGTGAACCTTACAGTGAACTCTACACAGAGGTTAGGGAATGTATATGTGCCCTAGAGTTAAAGGAATATGCACATAAGCAAGCCCATCCTCATCTTAAATAGGTTTTCTTTTCTTTTGCCTTCCACCCTCCTTCCCTTCCTCCCTCCTTCTCTCTTTCTTTTCTTCCTTCCCTTCTTCCTCCCTCCCTCCCTCCCTCCCTCCCTTCCTTCCTTCCTTATTTCTTTCCTTCCCTTCTTTCTCTCTCACTCTCGCTCTTTCTGAAACAGGTAAGGGAAAAATGGCTTTGCCCAAGTATATAGGAACCTTTGAAATGTCAGGTGCATATGCCAAAAACACATTGTGCTGCTTTCTGCTTCTAATATATGTATTTCACTTTAAGACCAAATCAGAGAGCTCTCAGGAAGAAGTGATAGCGAATACAGTTTATACTTCAAGAAACCACAGTAAGGTAAAGGAAAAGTTATAGGAAGGAGAAAACATTGACATGAGACAGAAGCCAATCCTGAGAAGTGAAGCTTGAGCCCTGCCAGCCCCAATCGCTTCACTGAACTGGAAGAGAATTCTGAGCTTCTCATTCTCTTGGCTACCCGATTTGAAACCCCAAAACTAGCAGAGGAGCTTGATCCTTAATGTGAATTATTATTTTACAAATTATGAAGAAGAGCAATATCTCTCTATTTACTGAATGTCATAACAAAAGAGATAGGAGGGAAACCAAGACATTGTCTACCCAAAGAGCCCAGCATTTGGACAGTGTAAAATCACTAAATAGTTCAGCATCTATTTGAAAGTATAGTGTTTTGTAATTTTGACAGAACCGTCTTAGTCTGGCTGTCTGTAGCACAGAATTTTAAAAAGATGCTTGCCTTCGTGAGGATCTATTTCTAGGAGAAACGGGAGTTGGGTAGAAACGCTGGGCAGGAGAAAGAGGGCTGTCTAATTAGAGAACCTCGTGTTTACTCGGATGTTAAACTTTCATGAGCCTGCCGAGGGTCTAACCATTTTCTAGTAATATCTTTCTTTCTCTGTGCCCACACACGTGCTCTAACTATACAGATCTGTGCCCTGTATGCCCATGGAAAGGGAGACCATTGTGTCTGAGGTGATCATGACATATTGACAGAAAGAAGAATGGAGAAGACAAATGTAGCCCCATGAACTGTTGCAGTAAGGTTGGTCGTGTCTGGTTTGTCTTGTTCAGAATAGTTGGAGACTCCAGCCCAGCAGCACGTGGGAGAGGCTGCAGCCTGACAGGACTGAGGTGGGATGAGGCAAGGAGGAGGAGGGCTGATTCCAAAGGATACCACCACTCATGATTTGTTTGTTTGTTTCTGACCTTACTACAGGGAGGATTTCATGCCGTTTACCATGGTGCACAAAATTAAAACAAAGCATGCTTAGTATGACTGGGAGACAGAATAGCATGATAAATAAGAGAGTGCTTGGGTTGGTATCTAGGCTCTGCTACCCCCTGGCTACATGACCATGGGAGAGTGACTTCAGCTCTGTGGGTCTCAGTGTCCTGATCTTTTTTTTTTTTTTTTTGCAGTACGCGGGACTCTCACTGTTGTGGCCTCTCCCGTTGCGGAGCACAGGCTCCGGACGCGCAGGCTCACGGGCCTAGCCGCTCTGCGGCATGTGGGATCTTCCACGAACCCATGTCCCCTGCATCGGCAGGCGGACTCTCAACCACTGCGCCACCAGGGAAGCCCTCGGTGTCCTGATCTTTAAGATGCAGGTCAATCATTGTGCTTACCTCCCAGGGTTGTTGTGAGGATTATACCAGAAAATAATGTAAAGGAGCAGAACAATGCTTGGCACGTGGTAAGTGCTTACTATGTGTCAGCTACTATAATTCCTTTGCCATTAGTTCCTCTGAACCCCAAGAATTAGGGTAGGCAAGTAGGTAGTTATAGAGAACAGAGCTCTGTGTTTTATGTGGCTATTGAGTGAGAGCCTCTGCAAGTGCTTATTGGCAAGACAGACTCCTATGGATGAGTTATGTAAGTGGCATCCCAGAGGTCCCGGCATGGATACAAACCAATTAAGTTAAGCACTTACCGCAGTCACAAGTGCAACTCATAGGTTTAAAAGTGGGTAGAGAGGATATGTGAACTTGGCTTTGCAGAACTTGGCTTTGTCAAATCTACTAGAAATACAGCCCGTGAATACTTCACTCTTGTTCTTCTAAATTCTGGAATACTTTTTGTCGAATGAAGTGTAGAATTCTGGCTCTATTTTTTCCTAAGCTGTGCAATCTTGGAGATCTATTTATATCTATTATATTTATACTCTCTTAAGACTCAGTTTCATTATCCATAAAAAAGGTTCAGTGTAGGAATCAGAAATCACCCTAAGAATTTTGAAGCACAGAGATTTATTACTGGGAATGCAGTACTTACAAAATTGTTGGAAGGGCAGAAGGCGTGGGCTGTAGGTTGGACATGTAGGGATGGCTCTCAGAATATTATGGGAGCTATGACCTTTGTCACAATCTTGACAGTGAGTAACTGGCAGCTCACTGGAACAACTGAGGTCCAGAACATATCATCTTGCTGCTATCCAGGAATCAGGAAAGCCTCCAGTGCCAATCCAATGTCCATTGTGGACACTAGATCACTGAAACCAGCTGCCACTACCACTACAACTGCCTATGGAAGCTGGAGATGAGACCTTAGTGTCTCCATACTTTTTCTTGCCAGCTGAAAACAGCATAATAGCAGGAAATTGCCCTTCACTTTATTTCTGCCTTCTAAATCTTGCCTGAGCATATCTACTTCATGAAATCTATCTCACATCTAGAGTCCTACAAGGGAGGCTGGAAATGAATGATTAGCTTTCTAGCCTCTCCAAAACAGGAAGCTACCTTAAAGAAGATGGAGATTGAGACTCCCCTGGTGGTCCAGTGGTTAAGACTCCACACTTCCAATGCAGGGGGCGAGGGTCTGGTCCCTGGTTGGGGAACTAGGATCCCACATGCCGCATGGTGTGGCCAAAAGAAAAAAGAAGATGATGGAAATTGATGCCAAGTAACAACTGAACCATATCCAGACCAGAAAATAATAATAGTAACTATGTCATAGAGTCATTGTGAGGGTTAAATAAGATAATGAAATAGTTTGAACACTAGCAAAAAGTAGACAATCATGGGGGCTTCCCTGGTGGCGCAGTGGTTGAGAGTCCGCCTGCTGATGCAGGGGACACGGGTTCGTGCCCCGGTTCGGGAAGATCCCACATGCCGCGGAGCGGCTGGGCCCATGAGCCATGGCCGCTGAGCCTGCGCGTCCGGAGCCTGTGCTCCGCAACGGGAGAGGACACAACAGTGAGAGGCCCGTGTACCGCAAAAAAAAAAAAGTAGACAATCAATAAATTAATTATTTCTAGCACTACTCCTTCAGTGGGATACAATGCTTCATCTTCTAAAGATAACCAAAGGGAATGATTCTTTCTTCAGATGTCGGGCTGAATTTCCTGCAAGGATAGGAGAATTCTCTACCAGCCTAGTGTCCTCAGTGTAACCAATGGTTCCCTCCCTACCTGAGGTCATAGCACAGGTGCCTATAATAGCCCTCCTTGTCTATATGTCAGTGCTTCAGGGAAAGTTTCCAGGCCATTCCTCCAGTTCTCCATTCAGCCCCTTCACACCCCCACTCCCCATTCTGGACTCTAAGTTCCCATCCTGTTGCTTCAGGCCAAATTCCTAATTCTCTGCTTGCCCCTGTCATGGTGAGATCTGAGTAGAATGAATTATTTGCTTCATCTTTGTTTTATCCCCAGTCAGTACTGTTCCTATTTCATACCTAGCCCAGGCCTTTGAACCCTGTACTAAGCGTGGAGCCTAAGGCCCCACTAGTCATCAAGGAAACTATACATAATTAGGTAAAAGATGGAAGAAAGTACTGAGAATTCCAAGACAAAGCTCTAACAAAATAGGTTGGTCTATGACAAACACAGAGAAAATTTATCTTTAATGTCTTCCAAACCCTGTTTTGTTGTTCGGTATTTTCCACTTACATATTGAACTTGAGAGTTGCCCTTTTACTTGGTATCATAACAGATATTCTCAACCAGGGTTACTTGTTCTACATCTCATTTTTGTCAGGGTTTTATAAAGTGGCCAGTTGGCTCAGGGATTCTCAAGACTGCTTGTGCCTCACCTCAGCTCAGTTGAATCTGAATCTCAAGGGGGACAGCTGAGGTCTGGGCAGCAGTATATTTTAAAGCTCTCCAAAGATAATAATTATAATGTGCAGCCAGAGTTGAGAACCACAGGGCTGGCTAATCTGACAATCTGACTGGGGTTGACATGACAACGCGTGCAAAGGTCTTAATATACTGGCCCAACTAGGGCAGTTCTGGTTCTCTTTCCCAAGGACTGTCTTCAGGCAATGCCATAGTCAAAAAGTAAGTTCATGATGGCATCTCCAGGCCCACTGGCAGGAGAAAGTGATAGGTGAAGCTCTGGGGTCAGGACAATATTTTAATATCCCTCAGGTTATACCGTTTAAGCAGGTGACTTTTACACCTATTCACAAAACTAGTTCTGGCAGTTAACATTTAATTCTTGATAAAAAATTTTTTTTCTATAAAATGAAATTATACTTTTAATTCTCTATTCTTCTGTGTAACCCCAGGCAATTACCATTTTGTGTAATCTCTGACCCCTGATTTCTTCATTTATTCAATAGGGATAATAATAGTAAGAGAGTTGTACTGTGATAGTTATATGTGATTGACAACATATATAAAATATCTGGCATATTAGAGATGAAAAATATATTTGATCTACTATTACTATTATTGAATTATTAGTGTTTATAAAACTAGGCATAATGTTTATAAAACTAGGTGATGTCAGCAGGTAAATTGGACATTTTCTGGATAAAGAAGATGTGGCACATATATACAATGGAATATTACTCAGCCATAAAAAGAAACGAAATTGAATTATTTGTAGTGAGGTGGATGGACCTAGAGTCTGTCATACAGAGTGAAGTAAGTCAGAAAGAGAAAAACAAATAACCGTATGCTAACACGTATACGTGGAATCTAAAAAAAAAATGGTTCTCATGAACCTAGGGGCAGGACAGGAATAAAGATGAAGACATAGAGAATGGACTTGAGGACACGGGGAGGGGGAAGGGTAAGCTGGGACGAAGTGAGAGAGTAACACTGACATATATACACTACCAAATGTAAAATAGATAGCTAGTGGGAAGCAGCTGCATAGCACAGGGAGATCAGCTCGGGGCTTTGTGACCACCTAGAGGGGTGAGATAGGGAGGGAGGGAGGGAGACGCAAGAGGGAGGGGATATGGGGATATATATATATACATAGAGCTGATTCACTTTCTTATACAGCAGAAATTAACACAACATTGTAAAGCAATTATACTCCAATAAAGATGTAAAAAAAAACTTATTTGATATAAAAAATAATTGGACATTCTCAGTTCTGTGATCAGTGGAAGAAATAGAAATGTGTCCTCTCTGGGAACCGGTGGAGTACTACTTAACATGGAGTAACCCTCATGGAAATTTCCAATAAGGATGGCAAGTTTAGGGTTACCTGCTTGGCTTGTTTATCCAAGTTGAACTGCTCCTGCTTGTGAGCTGCAGAACCAATGAAGTAGGTAACATGTTCTGAGTTGTTTGCTTCACCACTTTTCACATGAAATGGATTATCAAAGTTCATTATATGAATGAGGCTAATATAGATGCAGGGAGAGAAAGGGTGATGGAAAATCCAAGGTGTTCTAGCTACCATATGTTCACAGCAGCATGAATGAAGATCTTGAAAATTTGGAAACGACTCACGTGTAGCCATACGCAAATGCCAAAATAAGCTATGGTGTGTTCACTCAATTTACTGAGCTTTAATGGACATTTAGATGTGTGCCAGGCACTGAGCTAGTGCTAGGAAGAAAAAGATACATAAGACACAGGCACAGCCCTCAAGAGGTCAAGGACCCCTGGGGCGATTGATAAATAAAGAAATAATTATTAAACAGTGTGATCGAAAGTAATGGTTTTTGGACTATTTGATAACATTGAAAGAATAAGGAAACATTAACTTAAAAATGTAAGATATGGGCGTCTCGCCTTCTGAGATGGCCCACACTCTGTCTGTGCAGTGTGTTTCTCCCTCGGCTTCTCTTAATTTCTGAGATGACCCCATGCCCTGGGGCCGCTCTCGCCTTTTGAGACGGACTGCATTCTGTCTATAGAATGTGTATCTCTCTAAATAAATCCTCTTCTTACCTAAAAAAAAAGGTAAGATATGCAGTGACGTATAGAGTATAATTCTCTTGATATTAAAACTTGCCTAGAAAAAGACTGAAAAGAAATACAGTATATCAAATCATTTTGCTGGACACCTTAAACTTATACAGTGCTATATGTCAATTATTTCTCAAAAAAACTGAAGAAAAATAAAAAGTGCATGGGACCAGAAAAAAAAAAGAAAAGAAAATTGATGGATTAAGATTCCTGTAATTTGCAAATTAGAGAAAGCTTACCCTACTGTCAATGCAAGAAGTTCTAACTAATAAAATGAATG